TGCACAAGATTCATTTATTGTCTACTATAGTTAGGTTTAATCTCACAAAAATTTTTTCTAAAGTACTTCACTCCAGACTTCATGAAAATTAATTATTTTTAAAGCACACACTTAACACACAACTACCATCAACCAACAATTATTTTGCTTCTTATATTCAGTTGGCAAGTTGTCTCAGGAAGATTTCTGTTTATATTAGCGTTTTATTCTGGTTACTTTTGCCAAGAGTATGTAGATTATGAATTATTTCCACATAAAAAAAAAGTCTAATTAATTTCTTCAAGAATAGTTATCTTGGCTGCCATTTCAGAGTGGAAGTTTCCTTTTAGAGGTAACTGGGCAACATTTGTTGCCAGTATGTTTCTTGAGATCGTCTATCCTGGTATTCCACTCTCAAGAATGATCATAAGCCTTTACTCTGGGGAACAGTAAAAAAGCCTATATAATATTTACCTTTAATACATTTAATGATATTCATTTTACCTGATTTTAAACTACTTGCCAAGGATCCACCTTGAATTCATGGAAAATTTTGCATTTGCAGTTTTATTTTGGAAAGATCAAAAGCTAGACGTTGGAGTCTATGAAACACAGCTTGAAGCTTAGGTCCAGCCCCAAAAAGAGTGCTTGGAATTGCTATGAATACTGCAAAATAATAAAAATGTATATGTAGGGCAAAAGGTATGACTTTATTTTGGTCAGGCAATTTATTCTTATGTTCCATTTGGGGTACACATTGGGAATGATGAAATCCATCAGAGAATAGAAGTTTCCGTACTACACTGCGTTGTGAAAGATATTAGAGTAATGGGTTTTCAACTGTAAAAATTTGCATAATTTATAAAGAATTAGATGTTACTAGATGTAATATCTTTTTTCATGAGCAGTACAATATTTTAAGTATCAGTTTTGTCTTTAGTTCTGGTTTGTTAATTCATGCAAAAGTTGCTTTGACTTTCTCTAGGTCCTGATTTACAATTGTATATTTAAATATTTATAAGGCATTCACAGTTCAATTTGAATTTTATTCATGTTTTCCTTGTCCTATAAATGGATTTCATTTTATTGTTTCCATAAATTTTTCTTGCCAAAGAGATTTTGAGCTCCTGCCCCACACTTTTAGTTTATGTGATTAAATACTTTTACTTAGTTTCTGTGACTGTAGCAGTATTGTTTAAGAACACTACCAGTCTAGACAGAAAGTCAACCTGTCATCACTATAATAAACAGATCTAAACAGGTTGCCCAGAGAGGTTGTGGAGTCTCCTTCTTTGGAGATCTTTAAAACCCGCTTGGATGCAGCCCTGTGCCACGTGTTCTAGGTGACCCTGTGTGAGCAGGGGGGTTGGACTCGATGACCTCTGAGGTCCCTTCCAACCTTCGGCATTCTATGATTCTATGAAACAAATTTTTGGCTCCAAGACTTATGTCATTCATCTTTTGATACAACTGTAGATTAGGTAATGATTTTTCTACTTAGGTACTCATTAAAACTTAGCTGAAACCTTTCAAACAGATTTAAAATGATTTTTTATCCTATGGCTTGGTTGAGTATTTCAACTGTAGCAGTCACTGGGCAAGAAATTATTATGGATTATCTAACAAATTATTATGAACTCTTTTTTTCACCTCTTTCTGGAGGCTTTGAATGATTTTTTTTTTTTTCAGTAATTTAAGAAGAAAATACTGATCTATAGAGTTTTAGAATATTCACTCCCTCAACTACTCAGGCCTCACTGATAAAACCTTTCAGAAGTAAATCCTTTTTTTCTTTTCTCCCAATATTAATAAAATTGTTGTATCAAATATTGTGAAGTAAATAGTGTACTTGCTAGAGGAAACAAGACATAAGGTCTGATTACTTTCTGTTTACAAAATGGAAAGCTTTAGGATAGATAACATAGCCTACTTTCAAAATAATGGAGAGCACATATAATTTTTTATCACTTCAAAATATAAACAATTTCCATATATGTAATACCCTTGTGAATGCTGTGTTTTTATATAATATATATACACAGTATGTACTATGTATATAGTACATATATACTATATATGTATATATAGTACATATATACTATAGTATGCATAGTAGCATATAGTATATATACTTATTTATATAGTTTATTTATATAGTTTATTTAAGTAAATGAATATCAGAAGCCTGAAAATCTTTTAAGGACTCTGTGGACAGAAAAAAAAAATGTTTTTGACACGGTAATGGAAGAATATAATGTGGTTTTTGATACCATGTAATTGTTATACATATTTCACGAAACATTTTTGAGATGAATGAAGGAGTCTTTCAGAAACAGAAGCCTTTTAATGATAATTTCCAGAAATACAGAAATATATTCTCCAATTTTATGTTTTGATTATAGAACTAAAAATTCTGTGATCATTGTGGAATTAAAATAAATAAATAAAAGGTTCTTCATCTTTATATTAAGTTTATAAGGATTTAAAAATCTAAGCCACTATTATACATCTCTCTCTCAGCATTCATTGTGCACAGGATGTCAGGTTTCCATGCCAAATGGATGGATGAGCATGTGCTATAGCTCTGGTAGGCATACTGTCTAATAAATAAGATACTTTTAGAACATTATGCCTTTACCTTAATGTATGTTTGCCTATCTGGCTTTCTGATACAAATAAAACAAAACCCCAAAACTTCAGGATACTTGGAAGGAAGGAAGGAAGGAAGGAAGGAAGGAAGGAAGGAAGGAAGGAAGGAAGGAAGGAAGGAAGGAAGGAAGGAAGGAAGGAAGGAAGGAANAAGGAAGGAAGGAAGGAAGGAAGGAAGGAAGGAAGGAAGGAAGGAAGGAAGGAAGGAATATAAACTTCATTTCTAAGAGGAAAATTAGCAAGCAAAGTTTAAAATGTAATCATGGAAAGTACAAGAAATGCAGAAAATACATGAAAGTGCAAAAAGTGGAGGTGAAGCTAGGAGATGTCTAATTTTTAAAAAGCTGAAAGAGATTTTTTTCTTTTTAGGGGAAATCACTCTTGCCACAGTATGTGGGCAGTGTCTGGAGCTTTGGGGACTAGAGTGACATGGCAGGTAGTTGGTTTTGGATTTGACAGACCAAGAGGAGCATGCTGCTTTTTCTTGCAGCCTGTATGGAAGTCTGATGAATGCGTGGTGCCAACTGAGGGACTGCTTTGTCTGCTCTGTGGCAAACAAATGGTTTTCACAATGCAAGGATGCCAGGAGAGGAGGAGGAGAATGGTCTGCCAGTAAGAGAAGACACATTATACGCCTTATTTTTGTCTTAAAACTAAGATTCTTTCACTACAATAAAAATGTCTTTCTGCAGTTCATGAGCTGTTTTATCTTTCTCTTTTTTGTCAATATAATGCCTATGAAGCTTTTCCCTTTCTAAAGGCAATTCCTTCATACATCTGCAACCCTTTCTCACTTTGATGAAATATATTTCACTCTGTAGACAAGTTCTCTTTCATCAGTATTTAGACTCTCAAGTTCCCCAGACACTTGACTACACTTAATGCTTGGCTTAAAATTTCAGAATTTTGCAGGAGCTGAGTACGATGTATCCCAGAGGGAAGAGCTTCATTCTGCAACTTTAGACATGAAGAGAAGTGAGAAATTGATAAAATTGACTTATGATGTTTTATTGAACTTCAAAAGCTTGAGAGATCTGGAAGATAGAAAATCCCTTCTCTAGTTTTCCTCTGGTTATTATAAGGTCATCAAAGCTTCATTCCCACAGTCTTGCACTGTGCATCTTCTGCCACTTGTTTGTTCATTTTTAGTTGGAGTAGAGAAGAAAGAGATGTGCCATCAAGTAAGGTTCCCAAACCACCCAGTCAAGTCTGTCACTGATACTAATTTCTCACTGCAGAGTTTTTAATGATGGAGTTTGGCATGACATCTGATTAACAGTATTTACATGAGTGGATGATGGAACATGAGGCAGGATAAAGAGGAACGGAAAAGACACAAATGCAAAGTTTTTTCCAATAGAAAAAATTGTCTTGGTGTTTCTACAATCAACTTTAATATTTGAAATATCTTTCTGTTCTTTGCAAGGAAAAAACAAAAATTCCTACTTGTGAGGACATCAATGTTTTCTAATTAATGTTGCTCATCAAGACAATGTCTCCGGAAATTTTGTGCAATACAAATGGCATAGTCACACAGTAGCTGTAAAGTCTGCTTCAATTTGAGTACTTGTTAGCAAGTAATGTAAATGTGAATTTGCCTAGGCTCTAGAGTGATTTCACAGAGATTTGACCAACATTAATATAATGTAGAAACTGACGGCATATTATTCATTTGACATAGCACATTATTATTCATTTGACATAGCACATTATTTCCTCTATTGTACTGTTTTTTTTTTTTGTTTTTTTTTTTTGAGGCTGATGCAAATAGCATGAGGCACACAGTTGACTAAGTTGAAAGACTGCCCCATCTTGATACTGTGTAGTGCCGATGCAGCAGAAGAAAACACGTTTATGTGATGACATTTCTCTTTTGAAAGAAGTCTAAATAAAAATATCTAAATAAATGGAAAATTGCTAAAATAACAGAGACTCACTCACGTAACAGGAGAAAAGAAAGAGAGCTTCATTCTAAAGCGTATGTCAACTTGGATCCAAGAAGATTATTTCCTTTCAAAAACTAGGATGCAGCAGTGAAAGACACATCAATCTGAATTATTTCAGGTTCTTGTAAAATTATAGAACAAAGATGTGATGCTTGTTTCAAGTTAATACTGCCATTAATGTTTCAATAACAAGCTTATAACAGAATGCAACTTCTCATATCATTCAGAAATCATCCCAAAGGTTAAAATAAAGCATGAGAGATTTGACTCTGATTATCTGTTGAAACACCAAACAAGCAAACAAAAAAAATATATATATTTTTAAGAAAGGCTTAACCATTTAATCTAAAGCATAACCATTTAATCTAAAGCATAAGAAATAAGAGTATAATAATAATATGATGGAAATCACTCTTAGACTTTTACCTTTGTGGCAGCATCAAAGCATACAAAGCCCATACTAAAGTCAATGGTAAGTCCCATAAGATGACTCTCTAAAACACAGGCGTATGTCTTGCACTGTAAAAGAAAAAAACAGAAAGGACAGTTACTACACTACACACTTCTTCAGCTTCCTTCTAGGACCAGTCCGTCTTTGTCTTTATTATAATGCACATACCTAAAATTCATTATCTAAAAAAAAGACATTTCTTTCTAAATAGATGATTTCATTGCAAGTGTACCTCAAATCAAAGGATTTATATCACTGATGAAATTTTCAAAGTATTGTAAAAAGAGACTTTACTTCCATTAAAAAAAAAAAAATCAGAATTGAGTAGCCTCAGTGTCTTACCAACAACAACTGTTAAAAGGTAATTTTCAGTATCTTTGGACTCTCATATTCATTCTGAAAGATGAAACCTAGAGTTCTCCTCCAAACCTTAGTATATAAAAAAAAAAAAAAAAAACCCAAGTAAAATATCTCTTTGGCAGGTTCTTTATTTTTGACGTCCTCTTAAATCTCAGTGAAAAATACAATATTTAACATGCTGTAGCAATTGATGTAATCATATAAAATAGCTTTTTGCTTCAGCTACTAAAATAGCTTTTTGCTTCAGCTACTACATCTCTAAAGTTTCTAAGAGCAAACCTTGAAATTTTGAAAGACTTTCCATTTTATGGATTTTTTTTTAATAATTATTTATTTCCATAGTATCTAATTTTGATAAATGGTGTGAGATATCTATTACTGACATTTTCAGGATCAAAATTATTGCTGTACTGGAGGGCTGACTCCAGGTTCAAAATTACATACTTGAATTTTTCACCACGAAATCTGTCAATGTGTTAAATTATTTTCAAATTTGATCTAGTAAGTGCTTTAAAAGGTCATTCTTATCTTATAAATTTTTTGCCCTTCACACTAAATGAGATATAATTATATTTTTCAGGTCTCTCTGTAACCACTAAAGGTATCAAATGAGAAAAAAAGACTTGTGTGATCTATAATATGTCAAAGATAATAAATATAAATTATTAATATAGACAGAATGTAAGTTACTAAATTATCAATGTTACAAAGGCACGTGACATTATGATATTTTGACTATCAAGGAAAATATTAAGAGTAAAACATTTGTCTTTATTTATATATTTGGATATATACCTAAACAGTTTCCCCAGAACACAAGAAGCTGAATAGCTCATTTACAGCTCCTCTGAGATGAACTAGACATATCAATGCTCACACTGAAGGAAAAGTTCACAGCTATATCGTTTTCTCATGTTTAGATATGGATTACTTTCCTGGAACTGAAATATGTGTGAATTTCTTTCATAGCTCAAATCAAGTCTCAAGCATATCCAAATAGTTTTTGGATAAATTTTGTGTGGCTATCCTGAAGCTCTAATATATTAGTTTCAAATAGAGTAATATCTATTGCACATGGACAAAGTTTAAATCAGTGTATAGACAAGGCAGGACAATATACGACTCAGAAGTAGAAGCAATCCATGGCCTACCTATGACTTACAAGGTGATTTTTGCACTGTTGCTGAGTAACAGTAAATCATATGTTATTGTGTTATTCTCCAAAAGTGTTTAAAACTTGTAACTGTCCATCCCTAAAGAAAAGGTTTCCTGCTGCTGCTGTTGAGAGGAAAAGCAATAATGGGTCTATTCTGGTAGCTTCCAGCACTCAATGAAAGAACTCAATGTACTTCATTACATGTCTAAAATGTGAATTCATATAGCATAGATCTGTACTCAGTCATTATAATTATTAATACATGGAAAGATACAACTTTAGTTACAGAATCTGTGGTGTCAGAGTGTTATCTTATTTGTGTTTATATCAGCAAATGAGTGGCTTGTTTCGGAGCAGCTATACCATAAAGCCTCTAAGAAAATGTAAACTGTGATCCTAAATGTGTGCTGTTAGAAAGAGAGATGATTTTGCCTTTGGCAACATCTCATTAGTTGAAGAAAAGAGGATGCATCAAAGGAAAGTAATATACTTCCCAATGAATCTACTTAATGAATTTTCATATAATGAAATGTTGATGTTCTGCATGCAAAGCAAAATTGTGCAGTTTTGTTCAATTCTCTTTTTACTATCAATAAAGGTGCTTAAAAAAATACGATTTTTTTTTCCATGCCTCTAGTACATCTAGGACAGACATGTGATCTCTACTAAGAATTAAAAATTGGTGAGGAGATAGTACCTCACTCAGATGTTAAAATATGTAATACTGTCTAACTCAGCAGATTCCCATCTCAACACCCAATGTCTGATCCACAGTGCACACTTTAGCACCATGCCAAACTGACAGGCTCTAGCACAACATTGTTTAACCCCAGCACTGTGCCTGGGCTAATTAGCCTCACTGAAAAAATGAGATTTATGAGAAGCAGGATGTAGTAGCCTGGGCACACTGCTGCACTGGAAAAGTCAAATTGCCTCCTAACTGAAGGACAATGCACAGATTAAAAAGAAATATCACAAGGTGGGTATCAGTAAGAAAAAAACAAGGCACAGATTATCAATATTTAGTACACCATTTAAAGACTTAAAAATGACTAATAAGTTAAAAAAACTTATTAGAAGAGTACATAAGAGTAATTATTAGAAGAGACACCTTATAAGAACTTACGAAACCTGAAGCATTTCCCTCTCCCCCCAAAAAAAGGCAGAAGAGCTTTCAGCAGTTACTTCTTGTTTCCTAACACCATATAAAACCTTAAATGGGGTATATGAATAATTCATCAAGTCAAGTATTGAATGAGACAACCCAAAATATTACATGCCTTAGACTCTAGTCCCTCGATATGTACAGTTTAAATTATGGAAAGAATGATACACCATAAGCCTACTGTAAGCTACGTTCAAGTTTTAATTCAGACTTTCAAATTTATACTCAAATTCACTGGATACAAACTTTACCCTGTGTCACAAAGCATCTTCATGGTATTTCTTATTTTAGGGAATAAGCAACTACTAAACAAGAAGGATAAATAAAAAAAAACATGATAAAAAGAGTGAAAATTTTAGCATAAAATAGGAACATCTGGAAAACATCACAGAAAGATGCTGCAAGATAGTAAGGAAAAGGACATCCACTTGAAGGTTTTTTTTTTTTTTTTTTTAGTATCTAATTAAGATAATGGATTAGAGTATATTTATCTTCTAAAGAAAACTAATTAAAGAGTAACTGTAGCATAATATAATGGCATCCTTGCTACATCATAAATTATATCATATATTATTGCCAAACCATTATGACCTTTACTGTCTTTTTCTTCCTCTAATATATTTTGCTTCTAAATAAAACTGTGCTTTTTGCTGTTGTTGTAGATATCTCTCTGAAAAAGCTGTAAATTTAGGCTTGAATTGAATTTCTCACTTATTTTTATCAAGGCACCTTTTACAATATTGGCATTTGTAATATATTGTTTAGAAATACACCATAAAAGGGGCCACAATTAACCTCAGCTGAGCTATGCCAATTTATACTAGTTATGAGACACTATTACCATGTGTAATTTGTGATTATGGCATAGTGCACACCTCATTTGAATAATTTTAATTCAATATTAAAAGTATATCCAATGAGATTACTTACTGCACATTTTCTGTTAATGTGATTGCATAAAACAAAATTTTAATAAAAATTTACTGACTTTGAACTTATTTTATTTTATTTTATTTTATTTTATTTTATTTTATTTTATTTTATTTTATTTTATTTTATTTTATTTTATTTTATTTTAATTTTCCCCACAGAACAATGGGATCATGTTTCATATTCTTATGAGAACATTTTTTGGAGAAAAATTGTACCACTATTCAAGCGTAATATCTATTAAAAATTTTATGTGAATTTGCAAGAAACTTATGGATGAAAGCACAAAATTGGAATGTTGAAGTAAAAGCGTAGGAATAGCTCCAAAAGAAGCAGTAAAGTGCATCCAATTAAAAATAAAAAAAAAAAAAAAAAAAAAAAAAAAAAAAAAAAAAAAAAAAAAAAAAAAAAAAAAAAAAAAAGAAGTACTTTCTTAGGCTCCTCTTTCAATAAAGGGAAAATATATTAAAACTGACAGCAGTGCAGCTTTTTCCAAAACAGACTGTATCAACTGTATCTTTTGCATATATTAATTCTATCTGCAGTGTTGTTTTATTGGTCAGGAGACGGCTAATGTATAACTAACAATTTGTCTAAATAACAACTGTCAGACACTGTGTTCACATGATGATTCAAAAAAAATGAGTGCACAGAAAGTGAGCACTAACTGATATTTGCAAAGGCTCATATGCTAATATGACTTTTTTTTTTTAGGGGAGTATACAGCATAACTCATGGCAATATCAATTAAATCTGTTTCAACCACATGTGTTTGCCTGACTAGAACATCAATATAACAACAAAGATTAAGTGAATCCTGATTTTTTTTTTCAAGTATTTTAAGCCCAAAGCCATAATTTTGTTCACATGAAAAATATAGTTATTTTAAGAAAAAACTACTCCAATATGCTACTTTGCTATAATATTCCAATGGTAAATTGTATCCAAATATCATCCATCTCTTCTGGGTCATCTGACAATTGAGGAGATATACAAGGAACAAGAAATGTGTGAAAATAATAATAATAAAAAAGAGGTTCAGTTTTGTTGTCACTTTAATCAACTGAGTGCTCTTACTCAATTTACTCTCAATTCTGTTTTTCGAAGAATAATGTCTTGCAAAATTCTCTACGTCCCTCAACAACATACAAAGTAATGTGTACAACAACACATGATAAAATGCTAATTAGAGAGCTGTTTTGTGCCTTATAGAGTGAGGTTGTTTTTCTCTTCTATCCACGACCTTCAGTTAACAAATAAGGATCACCCATCCATAATAACTACAGTCATGCCTTCTGATCTTCTATACTTCTTAGGAAAAGTCAAAAGTTTTTCTTTTTTTTTTTTTTGTTGTTGTTTTGGGATTTTTTTTTAACATACACAATAATTTGAAAATTTAGTAGGTCACTGAATTTCTTAAAGCTTCTTAATTATCTTGGATAACTATAATCTGTCAATGTACTAAAAGATAATCATTAAGGCCTCACCTGTATCCTTTCAACTTCTAAAAAAGTTGCTGTTTGGAAGGCTTTTTCCCATAGTGTTAGGTCAGACTCTAGTTCCACAGAAAAGTAGAGATCTTCTCCAGTTTCAGACTGGACACCAAAGCAATGTTTCCTCCGGTCCAGTAGATCACTGTCCTGATGAAAATCTGAAGTTATATAATCTGGCATACATTAATTAATATTTCATATTACAATTAGAATTTTGGCCTAAATGCTGACATCTCAATGAATCTTAAGCACACTTATCTTCAAAATTGTACAAAACAACAGTGTGTATCCTGGCTTAGAGAACATTCTGGCATATTTTTTTATACCTTAATAACTCAATTCTCAACATATTACCACAAGCTTTTGAACAGAAAAATTGTATAAAAGGTGTCATCTTTCTATTCACTTGAGAAGGATACAAACAAAGATCACCTTCTCTATCCTATCATACTTGCAATCTTAGTGTGGAAGGCTGCCAAAGGAAGCAAGAGGATTATTTAAGCAATTTAACAAGTCCATCTGTCCTACTTTCCCTATGGATGCTACACAAAACAAGGCCATATTTGTAATGGTTTACAAAATCCAATGTAAAATAAGTCCATTGTTGCACATCACCAATAGAGATTCTACTGGTTGTCAGTGTTTAAGTTACTGGCTTTGAAATTGGAGGAAAAAAATGTTACTTTTGGTTTTACTTTCAATATTACAATATACAATGATTGTGAGATTACAGAAAAAAATGTTTGTTAGCATTTCTTAATTGATAGTAGATCAACAAATAACCTAGTTAGGCAAGAAATTCATCTCTAAAATGTATGGCAATATTTTTTTTCAGAAAAAAAAGATGACATTTTATGCAAAGATTTTGGCATATAATTCATCCTCATGAAAAAAAAAAAAATACTTGCAGGAACAATTGTAATTAATTTGGTCCTTATTATAACAAAGCCGCTGCTACAGACCAGAGACTCACCAGCTGTCCTTGCAAATACATCTGGAAATTTGGGTATATATAGCTGATACAACTTTTATAACATTATGCTGTTGCAGAGAGCACTGCTGAGATCCATGCTTTCTCGTTCTAGACAAGATTATGAGCACTCAGTGGACCAACCTTCACCCAGTCTACCTGATGCAAGCTGTAGGAGCACCCAGCACTGTTTTGGCCAGCTCTGGACCAGAGAACCAGAAATGTACAACAGATTTTTTTTTTTTTTAATTGCCTCTCCCAGAGGTCTTTCCCCTGGAAAGAGGCTATGATGACAAAGAGCAAATAAATTTACACTGATTTCCATGAAACTATTGATCCTGACCAGGTAAGTAGGTAATAGTAAAATTAATGCTATATTCCTCTTCCCTTTCATTCAGTAGATGTGTGAGAGCTCAAGAAAGCCAGGATAGCACATATGTATGTATGATTCTGGCTCAGATTTACTCTACAGCTTCTATAAAAATCAGCTATGGAGGCAACACACTCTATTTGTGCTATCGCTATAAAAAAACTGCCTAGCTAAAATATAAAAATCACCTGTCTTGGCATAGCTATCTCTTTCCTAACCTACATTTCAAGTCCTAAGTTTAGCATCTCAATATAAGTAATTCATGAATAGAAAAATCAGAATGAACACAGACTTTTAGTTGTTAAAAATAACAGTTTAAAAAAGAAGTATTTTTCCTAAATATGTTTTTCCAAGTTTTCAAATGGCTATGCAGGAACTAGTTGAGTGAAGCTAAATAACAACCTATCTCCTATGACAAATACTTCTGTCCTTTTTTTCTCACTCAGGCCTCTGTTGAAACTAAAATGTCATTCTGCTCACGGCATATTTTGACCTGTTCTATGCAGTGCTCAAAAAAGAGGTCATAATGTCTAGGTTGTTGTTAATGACAGCTATGCTCTACTGCACATTTAGCCTCAAAGTGCACAGAGCAGCAGCACTATGACAAGTGTTTAATCTTGTGAGTATGTGTAAGAACATGAAACATATCATCTAGCACCTGACAATAGTTCCTTATCAACAGGAACTGTCTGAGCAGTTCCTGTTCCACTGGCCACCCCTCACTTCTTGGGGGGAGAACAGCTTGCTTGGCACAGCATAGCCTCACTTGTTACCTAAAAAGTCTTAACTGTGGTCTTATACCAGGGAGGCACCTGGATAATTGAGTTTGATAGAACTAATGTATAAAATGCGTATCATTCCCAGAGGATTCCATTCTTCACAGTTAAAACTTAAGATGAAACTAAAAATACTTTGAACTCAACTTCACCTCTTCTTGACAAGAGTCAACAGAAAAAAAATATTGTCACTAACGCAATCATGCATGGTCTCTGTTAAACTTGTTTGAGAAGAACACTATGGTAGGTGGGATCACCAGAACAGCTGCCACTCAAAGCACTTGAACTCACAGACTCTGCTTTAAATGTGAGGTAGTTTGCCAAAAAGCCTAATTCCAAAATATATCTCTTTATTTAGATGAGCACAGTTGACAGTTTTTACATCATGATCTTAGCTTCTCCTATTCTTTCAGTCTTTTCTCTATCAAGAAAAACACAATAGCCATGGCAAAGAGATGACTTTTTGAGTAGTCTGTGAAACATGAAAGTGCTAAAAGGTATAGTGGGACTGATCCTTATTAAAATACCTTTGAAAAGTACGGAAAAAATCTCAGAATAGTCTTTTGACTATTTTGGCTTATATTTTTTGAAATTCTTACATAACAGAAAAAAAAAATCAGAATGAGAAATTTTACACAGAATAACAATTTTATTTTTTGATCAGTTCTAATCTGATGCTTCATACTGTACTATGTTCATACTGTACTATGTTCATAGTACATCCACATTAAAAAAAGTTCAGCTTAAGTATATTAAAAAGGCATATAGCTTAAAAAGACTTGTCAATATACTTATATATTTGTCTTTAGTCTTTTGTGTGTATTCAAGTATGTAGAAATTGAAAACTATAAGCCATACTTATAGACCTAACTCAGTTTTCATTTGTACAATGGATAACTGCAGGAAACAATTTAGACAAATTTGTATCTTTGAGAAGAGAGATATTCACAGTGAAATCTTCTTTTAAGAATCCAACTGAGATGGGTTCAAAAGCCTCTGAAAACTTAACACAAACTTGCCAGGAGTCCCAGAAAAAGGGCTGAAGTAAGCAGGAATCTTTATTAATTAACTTTATAAGATTGATCATTTGGGCTAAAATATAAAATGTTATTCTACCTATTTAAGAACAACTGTACTTTCATAATCACTTGTTAGCTAATGATGGACATTAGATGATTTTATGCTGATTTTTTTAAGAACTCTTTCATAATGCTAATGATCAATTGCATCACTGTCTCTGACATTCCTCATGCGAAACACCACAGATTCACTGAGCTAGAAATAGTCACAAAAGTTACAATATTATCTTAATTCTGTACTGAAAGGAAAGCTGTCTTGCAGAAGGATTGACTGTTAGGAAGGTCCTTATCTTATGCCCAGCTTCAAGGTAATCCAGTGATGCTGCTGACAGAATGGTATGACTCCTGCTTGCCTAATTAATAATGATGTCCATGTTATGTGAGAGTAATAAATTTGCCTAACAGAACCTAGCATGGCTCATTAGCCAGGTCTGTTCAAATTAAGGTATAAGTCTTCTTTAATATTAAGAAGTAACATCATCTTCTCTTCTGAAGAAGGATCTTTTTCTCTTTTGAAAAGCTGTCCTCTCCAGAAGCTACCCTGCTCCTTTTTGGTTACTTAAGCCTTTTCATTTCATGCATAATGAGTCCAATAAATGCTTATATTTAGGCTAGTAGTGAAATCTTCTAAGTTCTGAATTTTTATTAGAGAATGTGAGAGTGGAGCTCTTTGTATCCTGATCTGTGAACAAGAAAGCAAAAATAGGTTTACTTCCATGCTGACGGCATGATTTTTATCCAGGAAGAGGTGCTCAAAAACTATATCAAAGATTGGTTTACCTGCAATGTTATATGAAGTATAAAAAGCAATTTGAAGATGGAACTGTAAATATTAATGACACTGGTAAGCAGTTTTTGACATGATCAATGATCCACGCAAGATTTTCAAAACCATCTCAGTCAGACTGATATACATGAACAGTCTAAGTAGACCTTGACAGTTAAGATGATTTCATTTCAGCTTTCAAAATGAAGTACACATTCAAGTCTGTTAAATTAATTATAATAAGTGTTAATAATGCATTGATGGAAATCAAGAGTGCAATAATTCCAAGGTATAGTGGCTGTAAAAACTAATCAGATGTTGCTCTTACAGGCATCACTGCCCTGATTATATTATCATTTGTGCCTGTTTTCTTTCTCTTACTAGATTCATCTAAACAAACAGAAAAATCCTTCTTTCCAAGAGACTCTAATGATCTATATTTTTTACTGTGGTACTTCAGAAACATCTCTCTGGCATCCCAGTTAGTTGCTATGGAGATGGTTCTAATAGCATTTAAAGGCAGCAAAGAACAGATTCACTCCAGAGTAAATAAAATAAAATAAAAATTCTTAATCAATCAAACAATAAAGGCAAAAAACAACTTAGGTTATTTTTGTGCAGGCTTATACAAATGTACTTCATGTTATGTGGGCAGTCCTGTATTTTAATTTTAAATTTAAAATATGAGAAGTTGCATACATGCATAGATACATATATTTATAAATACACAGAATGTTATCTAAACTAAAACTGAACAGAATATTATTTAATGGTTAACTTTGGTAAAAGCAAGTTTTCTTGCAGGAAAATTAAATGAATTTTCCTTTGAGAAAAGATTTTTTTTTTTGATACAATTAAATTCCCTTAGAAAGATCTGTTTTACTGAATAATAGACACAGAGATTCCCTCTAACCTATTATTTACAATAGTGAGCTAGAACCTAATATTAATTTCCTATTCTGCCAGATTAAAAGGCTATAGTGTTCCATTTGAATTAGACTAGGAATCTGAGCATGAATTTCTTATAAGCTAGAGCCATAATTGTATCTTAATATTTCCCACCCCAAAATTTTATGTCCTATGAGAACAATTTTTGAAAGTTGTCATAAAGCAGAATCATTTTTTTAGGAAAAAAAATATTTTAATACTTTCTATTAAAGTAATAGTGGCTATTTTCTTCTAAGAA